TGATTTCAACAACTGAACTGTTTTCTATGGAACACTTAAATATAAAAAATTTAAATCCTACAAAAAAGATTAAAATAATATATTATATAATTTTTTATTCTTAGTTAATAATAATTATCTAAGTTCATATTAATAATTATTAACATATTATAACAATTATTAACAATTTCTTTTTTTGTTATTTTAGTAAGAAAAAACTTAAACAATATAAAATTATATATAATTAAAACAACTAACTAAAGTATTATTTTTATTTCCTATATTTTATATACATGATCTTTACACATACTTATATCAGAAGATTCAATACACGATCGATATATCTTTATGTAAGAGTTATCATAGCTTACATCCAAGTTACAAAAACATCTTGTATAGTGCTAGCTATCGATTAAATCTTTCGGAATCGGTTGGTTCAGTTATTGACAAGATTCGGAATCTGAGATACTCTTAATTAGAGAGACCTTGCTGATATACGCAGTCCACTATAATAATGTTTGCTGTGCATGACTTGCACAAGACACGATAGAGTCTTGTGATTCCGTTTCTTACAATTACTTAACCAGTTTCATAATCGTTCTTTAATTTAAAAGATGATTATTAAATTGTCCGTCTTTCAAGATAAATTCATCAAAACCTCATAGAGAGAAAGAAAATATCTTGTATTTTCAAAGGACTTTTCACTTAATATATTGCTCGATGCTTTAAAACGAAACTCAAATAACGAATACATATCATAAAAATTATAAAAGTTTTAATATTTTAAAATAATTTTTTAATTTTTCATTTTATAATTAAAACGTTAAGTTACATTAAAAATAATTTTGTAAGTAATAATTCTTGTATTATTAGGAGACAGATTTACAAGGTTGTCACAAATTCCTCCTAAAATTCCATAACTTTTCTCTGATTTCCAGACAAAATTTTTTAATTTTCCCTAATTTTTAATAATATTTTGAAATTTTATGTATTTTCGTCCTGATTTGGAAACCGTTAAATATTTTGTTAAGAAATCAATTTAATATTAACATAGCAATGTAAATTACTATTAATGTTGCTGACACTACTTACATTTTTAATTGTTAAAACAGTAGTATTTCCACCAATTGCATAGGTGTGATATTAAACTTCTTTAAAGAATTTTAATTTTCCAGAAAATTTTGCAAAATTCCCTAACTTTTTCCTTATTTTTTTGACAATGCTCTGATTTCTCTGACTCCCAGTGACAATCCTTATTTAAACGTCACGCAAACTCGATTATGCTTGTCGTCGTAGGAGCAGCTTGATATTTGTACAAGGGTAGACTTTTGTATGAATTAAAATAATTCGGTTAGTTTATTGAGTTTCTGGCGACAAGATATCAACAATAGGAGCATGGTACAATCGATAAAAGCTGTAATAATCTGTGCATGGCAGAGCTTAGGACCGAGTCTTCAGACACGCCAACCGGCAGTTCCTGGTACCAATTCATCTTAGGTAAATTTTTCAACTTGAATTTCACTTCTCTTCCATGAATTTCAGCGTTTTTTTTAGAAATTAAAAGATGACAATATGTTTAGAACATCTACCACAAATTAAATAACGTATAATTCGATATCTTACATTGCAGCATGTAACTCACATCAGTGACGAATTTCGAGATGTTAGTTTTTTTTCTCATATTTCAGCGATGCAAAATTTAGAGAAGTATTTATTTAGAAATATTTTAAAATTGTTTAATATCAAGAAATTCGTCGCTGCGCGACATTTTGCAGTATAAGAAGGATATCTCGATCATCAGTTTATTCCTTTTTTGTGGGCTATGTTCCAATTATATCGTTGTTTGATTGTTGCAATGCTATGACATTATGGATTTCCGTATGCACGCATTTTATCATACCGCTATTTCATATCCAGAGTCCGTGCAGTTTCAGGATACACATATGCGTGTTATTATTTATGATTACAGAGAAAACGTTTCGTTAGCGGAAGAAGGCGCGTCTTGCTGTATAATGCGGTAATTCCGTACGAAGCGTATCTCACATTCGCTCCGCGATAGGTTCTATATTTTTTTTTATTGCACAGCTTGCTTGTAGAGATAGTATTTTTTATAATTCAATTCCATTTCGGTTATTACTACGAGTGTATATTCATCGCTTCTTCTTTGGTCTGACATATTTAAAATGAATAGTGTGCGCAATGGTGCATACTTTTACCTTTAGAGGCATGTATTCGCGAGTAAAAATACGCGTAAGCAACAGACATTGTGATTAACAGATCTACTTCCGGTTCCGCGAGAGAAGCAGCGCCACTGCGTCGTGACAATCTCTCAGAAGACAATTGAAAACCGAAAACTAGTTTTTCATGTCACGGGAAAGAAAAAGGTGAAATATAATTATATCTACTGTCGTCTCCGAATGATTACGCTATGTTTACGGAAGGAAGAGATGCTGTCGCACGATAGTGGAGAAATTCAATATTACACATAATGTGACACATAATTTGACGGATGAATTGCATTTTTAAAGAAGGAAGTTCTATGCGCTAAACTTCTCGTCTAACCTAGTCTAACCTGATCTTATCTATCTAATTCGAGGTATTTCTTAAATTAAAAAAATATAAATATTACAGTACATTAAATATTGATTCTTTCAGTAACTACATAATTTAACTTTAATTTAACTAATAGTCTAAAACTATCCAATCAACACAAACTAAAAATAACATAATATCTCAGAGAATCTAAAAGGCAATTAAATTGTTATAAAAATATCTTTTAGTGAAAGAATATAGTCGACGAAAAAATGACTAAAAGACAACAAATGTCGCATTGCTAGTTATCTTATATGGCTTATTCATATGATAACTAAAGGATGACTTCTTTGGATATCTTTTAGTCGTCTTTAATACTTTTTTTATATTTTGATATATATTACATTAGGGACTTGATTACAAAAAAAATTTATTAGTGTTCATTAGAATACAAGTAAAATTTCTCATAATGCTGCACCTTTTATTCTGTCCTGTATGATTTTCAAACATGAGATATCTTAGTCAACCTTTTGCTTTGCGAAAATGACAACATAGAAAAATGACGAAAAGATGTCTTTTTTAAGTTGTCTTTTCGACAAAATTGAAAGATGTCTTATAGACATCTTTTAGTCTTACTGAAAAGACAATCTAAAAACAATGTCTTTTCGTCATCTTTTAAACATCTTTTTGCTTTGTCGGAAAGACAATTTGAAAAAGACTTCTTTTCGTTATCTTTTTGTTTTTTTATGCTGTCTGGGATTTGACTGTTAATTGATTGAATAATGGATAGAATAATGTTTAAATATTATATCCTGAATATAAATTATTTTAAAAACTAAATTTTTTTTAATTTGCAATCACTTATTGCAATATTCTACAATATTTACAAAATCATATTAGAAATTTATTGCTATTGGTACATATAAGTATTAAAAATACATAAATCAGATCTTTCACTCGCATGACATTTTAGATTGCGTCTCTACGTAGCTCATAAAAGAATATGTGTGGGCGCGGCATTGTAAGCACGTTTTATGAGTTGCGTCTAATATTGGCAGGAAAAGGAACCAATAAATGGATCGTCAGTAATAGAGCTAGCGTGCAATCAGCAGTCGATGACTATTGATTTAAGATTACGTTCCGACCAATCGTGAGAGAATTTCGCGATCTAGTTGACCTATTTGCGTATAAAATTCAGTATCCAGTTGCTATCGATTTGAATGCATCAGTAATTCTCTTTTATAAGCTCAGCTTCTTTTCATGACGAAAAAGATTATTATTTCGGAAAGAAGGTATTCGGCAAATATTTTCCGAGCGTATACGAAAAATTTCTGATTGATAATGAATGAACCAGTAAAATTCTGATCACATCAATCGATCATCATAATCGGATATCTTTGTTTCAACTAAAATTTTAATAGATTTAATCAGAAGATTCTGATTAAAGATTCTGATTTGTTCATTTTCAACTAGAAATTTTTCTCGATGTATATAATCTCACAATTAGATTGCGAAATTTTATTTCATTGTTTCACAACACGCGGTGTAAAACTCTTTTCACTAATTAACGTTTCTAACGACATAATGCGGCCACTTGTGCTCCTCGGGGAGTCGATACAGCCGGTTGATTCTACTTGTCACGTAATGCACTGGCATTTAATCGAGGCCGCCGTTACCCGCCGCTCGGGAAATCGACGCTTTCTGCACGAACATATCTCTTCTGTCAGAAAAGGGTCCGATTCGAGGCGGAGGCGAAATCTCTTCCAATGATTTCTTTCTAATTGGGGAAGAGAATCATTTTCGAGTACGAAGTGAGAATACATTTTTCCTTTAATATTTCAGACAGATTGTCTCTCTCTCTTTCAAAAATAATACATATAGATTTCCATAATAATGCAGCATTTTTATCGTATTTTAAACAGGAGAAATTTCATTTCACGCGGTTGGCTCCTCCTGCATAATTCAATCATTGAATCGACTCATTTAAAAATAGAACCGTCGGCGCTTTCTCGCCATTACATAAAGGACCAGCGAGACTATTTATTTGCTCTTCTCTCGACGCGACACATACAAAAAACCGCAACCCTTCGCACCGACACCGGTCGTTCTTTTTTTTCCGTTTATTCCGGCGAAATACGTATATCCCGTTTTATTCAGAGTGCCGAAACTCTCGCGCGCGGTCCAGAGAGGATCGCGAGGATATTCGCGGTAGACGCGGAGGATGTCGAGTATTGATTAAGGGGGTTTGCCGGGAGGAATCTCTCTCTCTTTCCTCACGGGTAGGTCGTCTGGCGTCGTTCCTCACCGTAAATGCACGGGGATGAATGGGGCACGGTAGGGAACGCACGCACCGGGGTGCGTCTGCGCTCTGTGCGCCGCACGCAGTGCTCCGATGCGCTTCACCCGAACCTGGTATCTCACGGCCCACGGTCTGTGTTCGCCGGGACGGTGGCGTGCACGTGGTTGTCTGTCGGCGAGGACAGTGTCGGACAGAAGGGAGGGAAGTGGGATCAAGCGGACGAGGGAGACTCGGCAGCCCCGGAGGAATCGCGATGACGATTGACACGCTCGACGCGTCGTTATCCACAGGCCACGAGTGTTGAGAGGGATTCACTGTAGCGTAAGTAATCGCACATTTTACATCCTCCTCGCCGGGGCTCGATTTCGGCAGACGACTGTGATAGCTCGAAAATTGATTCTGCGTTATGTTAATTTTATCATTATACTTTATCTTTTGTTTTAATTTAATAGCAAAGTGTGCTATATAAGCATCATTATAATTATTATTATTGTTGGAAATTATTAGAAATTGTAAAAATTCACATAAATATTAATAAGTATCAAGTTATATTTGCTTTGACCGAATATAACTTTCTTCGCTTATTTGTATACAGATTTTGCTGAAATATCTAAAAATTTAGAGCTAGATACAGATTTAAAAATAACTTTGTTGGATCATCAATTACGTAGGAATCTCAAGCATAATGAATAGTAGTGCAAAAAGTTTTGATATATTCTAGCAACTAGTTTGAAAGTTTTATATAATAATAATTATTTTCACAGTTCGATAAAATTGTTTTCAAATCTGTATCTAGCTAAACTTTTAGATAGCCTAGTAAAACAGTCCTTTTTCCATGTACTATTATTATTCTTGAAGAAGATATAAGACCCGTTGCGACATTGACTAAGTCTTAACACAGCAAAGCCTATTTTGTATTCAGTTAGTTATGGCACAACTGTACTGTAGTCTCCTTCATTTCGTTTCTCTTGTAGATACAAATTTTCTTAAACAATCGCAATTTTCCAAGAGCATGAAGCAACACTGAAAGCTTACTGAATCTAATTTTTAAACGAAAAGATCCTTTAGTTGAATTTTCGCTTGACTTTTGTCTGTAAGATTTCTAATGACTACGAGTGAAATTATTAATATGAAAATTTGTCGGTATTTTATAATATGGTTATTATAGGTGCAAGCTCGAGGAATCGATTTATGGGGTTAGATTAGAAACCCTATAACAGAATTTGATCACGACCGATTTTAAAATTCTATGAAAAAGGAAGGTATATATAATTTCTCTCTGTATATATATATTTTATATATATATATATATATATATATATATATATATACTATCTCACTTTAACTTGTACTGTCTCATTCCATAACTTTTAAGTTATAGAATGAAACAGTATAAATTAGAGTGAGTAGTACATATACAAGGAGAAATTATTAATCATTATTATTAATCATTATTATTAATCATTATTATTAATCATTATTATTAATCATTAGTGTCACCATTATAGCTGGTCATCACGTTTTCATGAGATACGTTTTTTACAAAATTTTCACAAACGTAAAAAATAACATCGGCCTTTCCCATCTCCGAACGTAAATCTGATTAAAAATATCAATCATGAAGATGAAGCTTTGAGAAATACGAATATTTATTTTGAAGTAATTTTTTCATATTCGGAAAATTTGGAGGTTTTTATTCAAAACTTTAGAAAATCTCGTAGGCACGTCTCGATAACAAGCTATAATTAATAATAATGGTAATTGGATGTCACAACTAAGTAAATGTTTTTCAGAATTTAATGTACTTTTAAAATATAACTTTAATTTTTAATATACCTGGTTTTTTTTTCAGAAAATTGCTCACTACGTTCTTGTGCCATTCACTATACTTTTCTTTTTCGTAAGATTTTAATAAAATTATTCGTGACCAGACTCTAATATAGAATCTATAGGGTCTCTAGAGACATCGTAAACATCCTAAGGACCAGTTTCACAACTTACGGTTAACTCTTAATCGAGGTTCAACTTGTTTTTCATTTCTTTTCAAGAGATAAGTTGGACCTCGATTAGAGTTAACTGTGAGTTATAAAATTGAACCTAAAAGCCTCTTTCACCAATCCTGGGTATCAATCATGAAACTTTTTTCCTAGGATGAAAAGTGAAAAATGAAAAATTTCTCCATTAATTTCAATAGTTAAAACTCACTTTCACTTTTTACTTTCCATCCTAGGGATAAAATTTCATGATTGATACCCTGATTAACGCTAATCGAAGATTAATTCAATCACCATGATTGCCAACGTGATAACTAAACACAGAAGAGAAAAAAAGAGAAGACGTTCTATTACATCAAACTGCTATTGGCATTTCTGCGGGTTGATCGTCGATTAATTTAATCAGAAGTTGGTGAAAGAGGCCCTAAGCCGGCATCCTGGCGTTGTTGTGCGTTTTCATGCGAGCGCCGCGCGTACAATAGTGGTCTGTCAGAGTCGGTTCGCGAGCGCAATGTGGTAGGGGCACAGATATCTGCCGACGATATCTCCCTCTTTCCTTCGCCGGTTCGCTCCCGTGGAGCGCCGGCATCGAAGGGCTGCAGTCGTGATCGAATGATCGGCGAGTACGGGTCGTCGTCAGAGAGAAAGAGAGAGAGAGAGAGAGAGAAAGAGAGAAATAATCTCGGAGCGGTGAATTTGAGGAAGCTGAGAAATTTTGCATGAACAAGCGATTACGATGAGCGACATTCTTCGCGAGCATTCCTCAGGTAAGCGCCCGGTTGATCTTACGATCGCGCAAAAGCTTGATAGTATTATTTGTGCCGCTCAAGAAGAATCTGTTTATTGACATTTGACAAGTGCGCCCGGAATTAATCACGATAAGCGTGTCGTCAGGATGACAGTAATGCTTTAGAAATAATCAATTGAATTGTTGTCGTGCAAAGAAATCAGCATGCAGGAACGTGAGCTCTTTATAGTTTTTCGGTGATATTTTACAATTATTTTTGGAATATAGGTTTGACTTTTGAAATTGTGGGATTTAAGTTTGGAAAATATTCGATGATTTAATCAAATATGTTTCGTTATTTAATGTAAATTATTGGAGGAACGTATATTAGTGAATATATCAAAAAGATCAGTAATTATATCAGAAAAGATAATTTACGTGTTGTTAATGTTGAATATTTCTTATATATTTTGTATATCACCACGCATAAACTTCTACGCATTACTCTGTATTATTGAGATGAGAAACATCTTAAGGTTAATTCTGACCTGATTACTGACGACATTTCTGTTGTATGTCAACAGAATACTTAATTAATTTGATACACGAATTAATATAAATTGATATTAATATAAAGAGAATATTTAATTTAATACGTTGATTATTATAAATTTATAATTAATAAATTTATAATTAATAAATTCATATTAATATTATAATTAATATAAATTTGTCACACCTGCAAGTTCTATTTGTAGATTGGTTTCGAATCTATTCTATTATCGCTTCTGCATATCGCGAGAAAATTGAATTTCCCAAGCGAGAATAAATGACGGAAATTGATTCTATTGGTAATGTATATTTTAATTAAATTGTTCTGTAAACATGAGATTATGATTTATCAAAAAATGTATTTGTGATATAGACTTTGATGTACAGACGGAAAGGGTGTGACATATATTTTTCAAATAATAACTTTCGTTATATATTTCTTATTTTGAAAACGAGAGCTGTAAACTACTTATTCGCTCACGACCTTATCAACTGTTTGAGAAAGTGAGGGTCGATATGCTTCATTAACTTTTAACGAGTGTGTGTATTGTTACACGCTTATATATCCTCCTCTACAGAGCTAATTACATCGAATATGACGTTCATTATTCACCGCAGTCAGTTTATTACTTCAAGAATAGAAGTGGAAATAATGTTTTGTGACATGTGTATTAAGGTGCTATTCGAAACACGTAGTTGAAAAAAACACTTGGGTTCTATTTAGACATCATAGACACTTTCTCTCGATTTTTTATGGAATACAAGATTGTACTTTCAATCAAAATTAAAAGGATTGTGATCATTGTTCCCAATTTCTAAATTTTTCAAATATACTTTGACAATTAAATCTAAATTAAATTCTTTAATTAAATTAAATTGCTTTAAAGGCAATTTAAAATTATTAGAAGAATAAATCTTTTTAATTTTTTTTTTCAATTTTTAGGCTTGATTTGTTACATCTTTGCCGATTATAATAAATAATTTCTCATTAATACATTAATATTATATTAAAACTTCCATTTTCTCAAAAATTATTATCAGAATTTGGAAAAAGGTTTTGGATACTTCATATTATGAAGTAAAATCTTCGTTAATTAATCGTGATTGCGATGGAAGTTTTAGTCTTCTTCTACCGATTGTCTTCCATACCGTTCTCTTTCTTTCTCACGACACTTTGACGAATGAGTGGCAGGCTCTCTCGCAGAACGAAACTTAAATGACATATCTCGGTGTGTGCGCACCGCGACATGAAGTCATTAAAGAATTTCTAAGGCGTCGGGCAACGGCCTGCCTTTACCAAGCTCATTATTTGAACATTATAACTGAGAGTATATCTGCTATTGTACTTTGTATGTATGCACGTTGCGACTCTTCTCCGTTGTCCTCTCGTCGCAATTAAGCCTGCCCTTAAAAAAACGTGCTCGTTTCTAAGAAGTTAGATATTTAAAAGTAACGGCGATTAGTGTTCGATCAACAAACGCTTGGTAATTCACGTTATTATTGAATTAGATGAATAAAAAAGAAGATAAATTAGAAAGTTTGTTGACCAAAAATTTAGATAATTAATCTGAGTTGTATATTCAGGTTTTGTATTAACATTTATTGTTATTCACGGCTTTATAATTCTGTGCACGAGTGGTTTTTGCTGAAGTACCTAAAAATTCAATTAGATACAGAAAAAAAAATGATTTTGTTGACTTTCAAAATAATTATGTAGCACACTTAATTGCTAAAATATCAAAACTTTTTGCAATATTGTGTTTAGCATGTCTAAGATTCCTACGTAATTATTTTGATGATGCAACAAAATTGTTTTCTAATTAAATACTTCTAATTAATTACTTCAGCAAAATTGTTTTTTCCGTGAAAATTTTTTTTTTATAAGCAAAGGAAGCCTATTTTAAACAGCGTTTTCTTTATGCAAGACGCTCGTTGTCGCGAATCTGTTAAAACGCATTAAGCGCCGTCATTATCTCGTAATAGTTGGTAATAAACGTAATAATATTACTAAGTGCGAAACCCGATGGTATCAACGTGACGGCGATAAT